ATGTTTGGCATGTCATGAGCCCCAATACTCCTGACAACTCTTTGACCATTCTCTTGAAACCGTGCAGCCAATGGGACAGCCTCTTGGTTCCACTGAAACTGAGTGCCATGCTCTCCATATGCTCCTGGACCATCCTGACCTTGAGGGTCATAATGCTGAGACTCTTCTCAAACTGCTCTAACTGCTCTTTCAAATGCGTTGGGATAGTGAATGGTACCTGAAAGAGAGTAATGCAAATAAAGAAGATTACTACTAAAATAAATGGCTCAATTTAAACAAATGTTCAAACTCCAATAAACTAAAATTCCACTAAGGCAACAACGCCAAATTGATTCAAGAGTTTTTACACTCTTGTGACTCAATTCCCCTTGAGTAAAAAAATCAGATCATTGCAGGATAAGGGGTTATCAATCCTTCATGGGATTAGTGTAGAGGAGATGGAGTAGTTTGTTCAGAAGAGCCTAAAATGGGGGTTTTAAAAGACTAACACTAAGGTTCAAATAAGAGCAAACATAAGAGCAAGCAACTAAACTAAAAGCAAGTTCAGGCAAGAGACTTAAACTTAAATGAACTGAAGAACAGAACACTAAAACAGAACAATGCTAAGCTTAAACAAAGAATTTCTAAGATGGGGGTAATAATACTAGGATGATTTCAATGGTGAATTATGGTTCTTCAAACAACATGGACATGCTATTCCTTATGAAAAGAACATCAATAGTATACTAATCCAATCCCTTGGCAATAATCCTTTCAATAATCATAAATCCTAACCCACTTTCAATGGTGAAATCATGACTAGCAAACATTAAGAAACAGTTCTACAAAGCATAATAAGCATCTTAGATATCTAATCCCTTAAGCTAAGAATGCAAATAACTTGATCAGTTCACTCAGGAATTTCATCAAACACTTACGATCCAGAGAAACCCTATGATCTAAGATACCTTTCCCAAGGTCAAAACAAGACTAGTTCAACTCAAAGAGATGATGATGATGATGATGATGATGTCCCACCACCTAGCTGCTCTACAAGAGAGACCACTAGACATTCGCCATACAATATTCGTAGGCCATCTTCACGTGGTCGGGATACAGGAACATGACGTACTCATATGAGAAGAGTTAACTTTGAAGCACAAATTGACTTTGAAGCAAAGCCAAAACAAGACCAACATGCAATGCTAATCCTAAATGCAAACTAAGCTTAGATGGGATGAATAAGAGATACTTTGGACTGTTTAGATGATGAAATGTCATGAAAACTTTACTAAATGAAGTCTAATGAGATGTAATAATGCAAGCTATGAACACAATGTGGAGTAAGATGCTCGCTATTCACCCCACATGTTTGGAGTCCATCTAGATCAAGCAGATAACGAAGATCCATATGATGATGATGTGCCAGCAGGTGAGACAGAAGAATATGGTAAAAAACCCTATTCATCCTACTAGTTCAACTCAAAGAGATGATGATGATGATGATGATGATGTCCCACCACCTAGCTGCTCTACAAGAGAGACCACTAGACATTCGCCATACAATATTCGTAGGCCATCTTCACGTGGTCGGGATACAGGAACATGACGTACTCATATGAGAAGAGTTAACTTTGAAGCACAAATTGATGGAAGATTTCAACGTATGGAAAAATCTTGTGGTGTGTTACTAAATATGGTGCGCGCACGTCAAAACTCAAAGCTGACGTATAGCGATGCACTGGCTGTACTAGAATATTTGCCAATCGAGCCAATAAATACATTTTGGTGGAAGGCAAACAAGTTGCTAATGAATGATGAAGATATTCGTGAAGGTTTCATGAAGTTACGGAGTGAGGAGAATAAAATTCAACATTTTGAGAGGTTAGCCAGTGTTGATAGATATGGAAAACCTTGTGATCTTAATAATCTATGTGTGGCGAGTAGCACTAGTGGAAGTGAACAAGTAAGATCTGATGCGTATGGGTATGGTGGAGGGTCAGTTGGTGGTGGGTCAACTAGTGGAGGATCTATTGGTGGTGGGTCAACTGGTGGAGGGTCGACAGGTGGAAGGTCTGTTGGTGGTGGATCTCATGGTGATCAATGCTTTAACTTAGGCACAAGGGATAACAGTAACAGAGAAAGTAATAAAATCCACCAACAGAATTTATTTCACAGATGTCTCCTAATTATTCTCCTCGATTTGGGATTTCAGGATAAGTAGGCACATGCTTTTCTTCTTTACTTGGGATTGACTCTTCTACATCAATAGAATCAGCTTCTACTAATGATCCACATATGATAAAAAAAAATTAATAGGTCTAGGGATAATAATGGAAATAAGTAGTGATGGTTTGTCTTACAATTGTTTTTTTTTTTTTACAAAATAAGCTTTGTTACTTATATATGTTTAAGAAATTTCTAACTCGAATCTATTTGAAGTATCAGGAATTACAAATTGCTGAGTTACGTTCACGTGGAATAGAAAATCTTGACGACAAAGAGATAACAGAGTTGATGTTACTTGAAGAAGAATAGACTGTGGAAGCATGCATATCTCCTATGTTACAATATTACACGACATATTTTACAAACAACCTATGACTTCAGATTGAGGAAAAGGATGGCTTCTTATTCGAGGTCAAATTTATTGGTAACGATGTTTCATGCCAAACACTTATTCGGATGAGTACGGAGGCATTCATACAGTTATGTGGAATATTACATATGAGGTATGGCTTGCAAAATTCAACAATTATAAGTCTCGATGAGAGTGTCGTAATATTTCTAATCATGTGCCCCCAAATTGATACTCAACGGGATATTGCACTAAGGTTTGAACATGTGCAAGAAACTATATGGTGAAAGTTTCATGATGTTCTTAAAGCAATGGAACGATTGGCTGTTGGTTATCTACGTCCAAGAACAGCCGAGGAACTTATAGCTATCTCTAGCCGTTTAGATGGAGATATAAGATATTCAAGCTTTAATGGATTTGTTGGTGCGCTTGATGGAACACATTTACCGGTTATGGTGACACCGGGCCGAGAAGGTCTCCATTTTACAAACAAAAAGGGAATTGTGAGCCTCAATGTCGTGGCTATAGACATCTTTGCTCTGTTTACAGATTGATTGAATCAGTGGCTTGATCATGTTCTTAGCTTATTATTAGTCTTGACTATCCTAGGTTTGATACTAAGTAATTCCCAAGTCATCATTGCTCTAGCTTTGAACATGCGCCTTATTGTTCTTTGCATTTTGATCATTTTGTGCTCTGTTTTTCTCTGTTCTTAGTTTCTTTGCTTTTCTTCATTTGAATTGCCTTTAGTCTCATGTCGTGCCAGCATTTTAAGTTATTGCATTTAGCTTTCATTCTCTCATCTTGCATTTCCATTTGACTCTTGCTTTCTTTGATTCCTGTTGCATTAGCTTCTTTGCATTTCATACTTTGCTTTAGTCTTGCTGGTTTCCCTTTTTTTCATGCATTTCATCTTTGATCACTTATATTGTTAGACAAACCCTCCTCTATCATATTGATTAAGTTTAGTTAGTACTTTGCATCTCTTTTATTCTAGCACCTAGATGGATTGATAAAACCTCTTCTATAATAAATCAGATTAGAGAGGGATTGAATTGAGACTCCAAAAAGTCCTTCTTCAGCAAGCTAATCAATATCTAATTCTCATTAGCAATCATGAAACAATCAAGCATAAAGAAACAGTCCTATCTAGCCAATAATCTCCCTAGTCATCCATTTTCATGTGTAAGGATAAGCAAATTCACTAAAAAGTTGGTTCACACATTTCTACAAACACTTTTGATGCAGAGAAAGCCTAATCTCGAAAGTCAGATGATTAGTAAGATTCAAGCATTAAGAACACCCAATAAGGATCTAACATAATCTACACTTAAACATCAAGTTATAAGTCTTAGATTATACTAAATCTAACCTATCCTTAAACTCAGAAATAAACTACTCACAAACTGATCCCTCAAAATCTAGATAGATGGTGAGAAAAACCATGATCAAAAACAATAGAAAGATTTTCAATAACAAGAAGTGCAAACTTATATTAAAAACTCAATTGTTGCATACAAAATACCAAAAACTGAAAAATTGCTCAAGAACAAGAGAAAAGAAGAAAGAGAGAGATTAGAGATAAGGTTTTTAAGCTAAAAAGATAAGATTAAGGATAATAATGCATCATTTGAACATAAGATAAGGTTTTTGGCTTAAATAGTCAATGGACAAAGCTTGGTCAACTCGGTCAAAATTTGAAATCCGAAAGTTGGCCAAAGTCAAACTTGCTGGGAAGAAGGCTGACATCGGCTTGTTGCTCGATACTGGACCTCGATACTAGACCTCGATAAAGATTAGTTTCTAGGAAAAAAAAAAACGTGCCATGTTTGTTCTTTATATCATTTCTGGAAACAATTACACAAAGAATACTTACCTTTTTAATATAAACGTCATTTAAGATTTTTTCACACCTAATATTAATATTAACGAAACAATTCAACATTCTGTGTTACATTTTTATTAATTCATTATATAATATAATTTTAGTAGTCAATAAACTAAAAGAATATGATAAAAGTACTAAACCCAAATAAAAAAATGGTTAATTACATTGACAATATAAAATAACACTTGAAATGTAACAAAATTCATGTTTTAAAACTACACTTAATATGAAACGGAACGGAAGAAGTTTGTTCTAAATGCTCTAAAGATGCCCATATAATTAGAATATGTAGAGTATCTTGTTGGTGATGTCCGTCAGTCCGTGGAATATAAAATTGTATGGAATCTGAAACTGAATTATTCAGTTGATAAATAATAGAATATAAACTCATATTTCATCCCTTGGCATATTTAGGGGGCCATCATCTCAGCTGGACGGAGACAACAGAGACACTTGTGCCAGAGAGGGAACACAATCTTCCCAAGTCTTCAAAGGGTAATCTCAGACCAAACCGTTGACTTTGTCCATATTATTTGTTTATGCTCACCCCAAGATATTTGATCCAAGGATTACGATAAATCACTATATAAAGACATAAATATGCACCCCACCTTTCTTATCAAACATAAAAGTCAGCAAAACAAAGGCATATTCCTCCTCCCCCACATAAGCTTTAGTTTCCTAATATTCAGATTTAAGGATCTCCATGGCGATCCACAAGATCCTCTTTGCTTCACTTCTCGTTTGCTTACTGATCCAATCCAATCATGGGGCTACCAAAGAAAGGCTCTTCTCCGAACTGGAGAAAGGTGCAATTGAGGTCACCGCTATACCCAGCCGAGATAATGTCGGTATGTACATTATTTCTTTTAAAACATCCTTCATTCGGTTGGTCGATATCGTTATACCTATAGATGTTCAAATTTGGGATTTCTCTGTTAGATTTCAAAGCTTTTGAGTAATGGAGAGTATCTAGTGCTCCACATGGTTAGATTAGATTAGGTTTCGGCCTGCGACCCAATTGAAAAAAATAAAAAGTTATAACTACTTAAAACTAAAAGATACGAAATAATCAAATATCATTTAGAATAATTGAGTAATTACTAACATAAAGGCTGATCAATATTGGATTTTTTAGTTTTGGAAGCCGGAGTTGACAAGGTGACCGTTACATGGAAGGTAAGCTCGACAGCTACAAAGGAGCCTGAGTTTAAGACTATTAAAGTAAAGCTATGCTACGCTCCGGTCAGCCAAGTTGACCGACCATGGCGTAAGACCCATGATGAGCTCTTCAAGGACAAGAGCTGCCCACATAAGATCATTGCAAAGCCCTATGACAGTACTGTCAAAACCGCTCAAACAATTAACTACACTCTCGAGCGTGACATCCCCACAGGAACCTACTTCGTTCGTGTATACGCGGTTGATGCCCTCAACCATGAAGTTGCCTTTGGACAGAGCACGGACGAAGCCAAGAAAACCAATCTCTTCAGCGTTCAGGCTATCAGTGGCCGCCACAAGTCCTTAGATATTGCCTCCATCTGCTTCAGCGTCTTCTCCGTCCTGGCTCTGCTCGTCTTCTTTGTTAACGAGAAGAGGAAGGCCAAGTTAGAGCAAAGCAAATGAGTCGTTTACTTTGCGTAATTGCGACGTTGAACAAAAAGCGTTGTTTTTGAACTTTCTTTTGTTTTAATTGCTTTTGTTTTGTTGTTTACTTCTTCTTTCTTTTGTACTTTTTACTTACGTGTTTGTATTATTTTTATAAGCCATTCATGTGGAACCAAAAACTAATCCTACGGTGGTGATGCGTTGCGTGCTTTTTATATGTTTTGCACTTTTTTGATATAGACTTTGTTTTCACAAAGATATTTGAATGTTTTGTGGTAATAAACTAATAATATTCCAAAAAAAAAACTAATAATATTCAAAGTTCCATACGCAATTATTCATTTCATACTCTGAGAGAAATATGATAGTAATAGCTAAGCAGGAATTATTATATAAGGATATATTTGAAATGATCATAAAAATTTTCGAAGGATCTAAATATAGGTATATTTGAAAAAAAACGCATATATAACATTTTGGTACGTAATATTCTTCCTATTTGCAAAGTTGCAAGGAGATGAAACAGCAAATGTATTGTCGTGTGAACCTGTAAATATGATATTGTAATTAAATTTTAAAAGTGATAAGAATGATGAATTGGTGACAACGATCCTTATCAACATCATCAAGTTCTAGTTTGGGGTTACTCAAAATGTCAAATATGTCGACATGAATAATTAACATATTTTAAAATAATAATACTATAATAGATGTAGACTGACGCAAGATAATAATGTGTCTAAGGATATTAATGCGCAAATGCATAATCCGTACAGTATGGGAAAATGTGAATATAAGTTTTGTCCAATTTAAAAAAATCAAACAAAAGTTGGCATGCACAAAGTCGTTATGCCGATTGAAAAATATGTTCTGTATTTAAAAACAAATTACTTTAGAAACAGGAGTTGTTGTGCACCGTCTCTCTCTTCTACCAAATTGAGCCACTTGTTGAGGTCACCAAATGGAAATGGTCATAATAGATTGGGCTTATCATTACGTTGTGCTGGTTATTACTAAATTCCATCTTGCAGAATCACGAAACAGAGGAGCATATGGTAATTATCACTTATTATTTTGGGAAATTTGTGTAAATAGATCCAAAAAACTAACTTATTGTCCCATTAAACTTTTTTAAATTTTTGTCAATTTTTAATTAAAAAACTCTTATGCAAAAATTAAAAAAAATTAATAAATTATTTTAAAATCTGAAAAAAATAGATTATATTATGAAAAAAACATAAAAGTAAAGAACTATCTATTTATGAAAAAATTGCTGGAAAAAACTGATTTTCTTCTCTTATACCAAAAGTTAGAATTCAAATTCTACCATCTACAATTTGGCAAAATATGTATTCTGTTTATTGCTCTATCATCAACCGGCCGTAGAATATACTTTCTACTATTTTCTCTATCATCTACCGGTGGTAAAATACATTTTCTACCATTTACTTTGTTGTCTAATAATGGTAGAAAGTGTCTTATACGTATTATATGTCTTCTACGAAAATCTGAGGAAAATCTAGAAAAAAAGAAAAAATTCTAACTGAATATTTTCTAAATTTATTTCTCTTCTCTTTCAAAGAGCGTAACTTCTCTTCTCTTTCAAACACCATAACTCTACAAGCTCTCGATTTCTTTCTTTTCTCTCTTTTTCTAGGGTTTTTTCTCTTCTATTTCAAAGAGTGTAACTTCTCTTCTCTTTCAAAGACCATAACTCCACAAGCTCTCGATTTCTTTCTTTTCTCTCTTTTTCTAGGGTTTTTTCTTCTCTGCATTTTCTGTTCAATTAATATGCGGCATATCTATGTAAAATGTGGTGTATGGAAATCAGATGTGAACAAGGAGTGGAGATTCATCATTGATCAAAAAAAGAAGAGGTCTATTACTTGATTTGGAATCTATTACCAGTCTTCAGGAGTTAAAGACGATGGTTTTAGAGGAGTACGGGATTGAACAAGGCGTTAGTTATGTCGAGTTCAGTTATCTACCTATCGATTTGATCAGTACCTTAGGATCTCCCCCAGTTATTATAACAAATGATCGGCAAGTGAGAAATTTTGTTGGATATGCAAAGAACTATTTATCAGTATAGTTTTGTGTGACATTTACAGCTCTAGTTGACAATCGAAAAAGTAGACTCAACATTGATTTGAATAAGGAACCATCTCATTCATGGAGAATGATGTTAACTTGCCTGAAAAATCTGAAGAATTTGTGAATGTGGCTAAGGTGAATGATGACTGTGGTGGTGATGATGAAATCATGTCTGAAAACAAAGAAGGCAATCAAAAGGAATATCAGTTTTGGCCAGTGGATTGTGTGAAGAAGGGGCAGCGTTTCGGAAGCAAAAACGTTTTGAAGGCAACTCTGGAAATTTGTGCAATGAAGTATAACTTTGACTACAAGGTTGTACAATCTACTACAAGATGGTGGAGTATACGCTGCACAGATAAAGTATGCAAGTGGGCTGTTCGCGCTGAGTCTTTAAATGGATCTTCCTATTTCAAAATCAACAAGTATGTGGCTAAACATACATGTGCTCCTTCAAGGAAAAACAAATCCGGTAGGACAGCTTCAGCAAAAACGATTGGCAATCTGATTATGCACAAGTATGAGGGTGCAAAGGAAGGGCCTAAGCTGAATGATATTATACAGATTATGCGTGTGGACCATGGTTGCGAGATCTCTTATAACCAAGCACGGGAGTCCCGTGAGTATGCAGTTAATGCTGTTAGAGGTATTCCGGAGAAAAGCTATGGTAGAATACCAAAATACTTGGACATGCTAAAAGAAGCTAATCTGGGTACGCATACTGATTACAAAACTGATTACGATGGTCGATTCAGATATCTTTTTGTTTCTTTCGGTCAGTCTATTAGAGGGTTCTACAAAGCTATTTGGAAGGTCATTGTTGTTGTACATGTTTGAAGAGTAAATACAAAGGAACTCTACTTGTCGCTACATCTTTATATGGTAACTCTAATTTGTATCCAATTGCATTTGGGGTTGTTGATTCAGAGAATGACAAGTCATGGGAGTGGTTTTTAATGCAACTAAAGGTTGTCATTGCAGATGAGGATAGTTTGGTTTTTGTGTCAGATAGAAATTCTTCAATCGAAAAATCACTACTGAAAGTGTACCCTCGTTCTAGACATGGAATTTGCATTCACCATTTGCTGAATAATGTGGTAGCATATTTCAAGGGAAAAGGTTTGACTGGCCTCATTGCAAAGGCTTCAAAAGCAAACAGGATTGCTGATTTTGAGAGATATTTCAAAGATATCTGCAATATTAGTCCGAGCATTGGAAAATATCTACAAGATGCTGATGTGAAAAAATGGGCTCGTTGTCTGTTTCCCGGTTTCAGGTATGATGTTAGGACCAATAACCCTGCTGAATCGATAAATGATGCATTGGTGAAACCAAGAGAATATCCAGTCATTCCTTTGTTGGATAGCATCAGAGAGATGTTAACCATGTGGTTTTATGAGCAGAGAATTTTAAGCTCAAAACAGGAGCATCCTTTAACCATAGAAGTGGAGAAAAAGATAGCAAGAAGGATTGAGAAGGGTAAAACATTTGTTGTTTTCCCGGTTGACCACAACAGATTTCAAGTTAAAGGTGACAAATTCGACTGCGTTATTGATTTGGGCAGTAGAACTAGTTCTTGTGGAAAATATGATTTGTTGAAGATTCCTTGCAGACATGCCATCAGTGCAGCTTTTTCTGTAGGCAAGGAAGTTTACCCACTCACAGATGAAAGGTATACTACAGCTGCATGGAGATTGATTTATGAAGAAAACATTAATCCAATAGGTGTTCCTGAAGACTCATGGCGTGTTCCAAAGGATGTTGAACTTGCTAAAGTTCTACCACCTGAAACACGAAGAACTGCAGGTAGACGAAGAAAACGGAGACACGAAACAGTTGAAGACAAAATACGATCGTCACAAGGATCACAAAGGTCCAAGAAGCATAAGTGCAGTCGGTGTGGTATCGAAGGCCACAAAAGAGGAACTTGTGAAATAGCAATATCACAAGTTATACTTTCTCTATCTTCTTAAGTCATTTCATTTTGTTTTGAATTTGGTTATGAATGACATTGTGAGAATACACTTTTTATTCATTTGATTTTAATCTTTCATGGCTATTCACTTCTCCTAAACAAGTATACTCTATTTTTGCATCTTCGAACAAACAGAAGCAAAGTAACACAAAGTAACTGTCCGTTTATGATTAATGAAAATTGCAGACTTTGATGCTTTTTTGCTAACTTGTGAAGCGATTTGTGGATGGAGTTTAACTCCTATTGATACGCCGTAAGCTCCTATGGATTATGTGCAATGAGATCTATCCATAGACACCTTGGAAGCGATCTGAATCTTCTTGGTTGTTCCAAAATTATCCTCCAAAACTCCTTACTTGCACACTATTTTTCTGGTTTAAGTTGCAGGTTTTTTGCGATTTCTTGTCAATCACTGTTTTTTTTAAAAGCATAGCTTGTGAGCTTGTGACTTGTGGGATTTTAGTTTCCAAAGCTTAAATCTAAAAACTCTCTTGAAACCTCTTTTTTTGGTTTCTGAAAAGTGCAGACTTTGATTATTTTTTGCTAACTTTTTAAGCGATTTGTGGATGGAGTTTAACTCCTATTGATATGCTGTAAGCTCCTATGGATTCTTTGCAATGAGATCTATCCATGGACACCTTGGAAACGATCTGAATCTTCTTGGTTGTTCAGTAATTATCCTCCAAAACTCCTTACTTGCAACATTTGCCGCTTGAAATAGATCCGAAGCAATCTTATGTCGAGCCTCCTTAATGTTGTCATCATCCAACAAAGACATGTCTAGTCCAAGGAGGTGACATTCTATGAATTTCAACGCATAAACTCCACAGTCACAACAACTCTCCTTCGCATCGGCACATGCAAGACAGAATACTGAGTAATAGTAAGATGTTTCTTGTTGGAAGGGGTTTGAACTTCCTTCACAAGTCGAGGGATGAGGACTGCAAATGGTTCTATGTGCTTGTTCTTTTTCATGCCTGAACAATCAAACACTTCAATAATTCTTTGCACCAAATTGATGCAAATAGAAGTCCAGTGATGTCCATTGACAAGGAGAGCGGAGTGTAGATACGATCAACATCCACATTCCATAGTTTACTTGTTTTTCCATCTGATGGAAGATCACCGGTTGCGTAAGCTAAGAAGAAACTATCCCATTTTAATTCTTTTTTGTTCTCCAAAAACTTTTTGTAAGCAGTACTGATTTGGTGGCTGAATAAACAGTTCAAGAAAGCAACTCGATCTGGTTTCCATCGAGGCAAAGTTGTGTTCTCCCGGAATAAGTACATGACAGCATCCATATCCTGGGAAAAAAAAATTAACATGTAAATTAGTGGCGTCTCATCTCAAGTTTAGAAAATAATATTTCGTTGACTACTAACCTCGTTTCCAAGCCATGCTTTTGGTCCAATTATACGATTAGCTAAATTATCATTAAAAACACTTGGACCAATCTGCAGAGATCTGAAACCATATAAACACGCTTATAATTTATCAATTAAGCAAATATGGAAAAAATAAATTTCCCAAAAGAAAAAGTTATAGGCCTTATATGGGCGAGAAAGACATATGCCAGTCATTTAGTTGCTTCCATGATTCGTCTGACACGTAAACTAGTTTGTAATCATCATCCTTTGTTGGGTCCCTTCTTTCAAATTCGGACCACTTACTATCAACACTAGAATGTGATGGTTCTTGGATTTTTGCAGGTTGTGTTAGATCAAAACCTTTTACATATGAATCCTGAGAAAGTCGGTCCATAGTTTTGCAGAGGAAATCTTGTGTACCCATTTCCAGTTCAATATCTGATGTCTGACTCACAAAAACTTCTTGTAAATTCGCGGACACTTTGTCGATTACTCCATTACGATTTTCAGCCTGTTAATATAGAAAGATAACTCATATAACAAAAATATAAAGACAGAAATAATAACATTTATGATAAAACATAACGAGGCATACATTATTAAATAGGCCTAAACACAATACATTGTTAATCATCATTACATCATTACATTTGGAGAAACAAATAACAAACAAGCGACAACATAAGCAACCTTCCATTTCAGAAACAAAAACCAACAGACATTATGTAAAATCGAAGGTTATCAAGACTTAAAGGTTTTTTTCTTGCTTACCGTTCTTTTGGACTGAGATTGGTTAAAATCTAAGTTAGCAGGTTCTCTATATGTCCCTACAAATGCACGTAGAGTGACTGAATCTTTGAGTTTTGTGAACTCATTCTCTAATTTCCCCAATCTTTCATTAATTTTTTTCTCAAGCTTCTCCTCCAAAGCAGCAAAATAAGTCTGAAACATTTCTTCCAAAAAAGACTTCATGTCTTCAACAAAAGCTCCATGTTTTACAGCTGATCTTTGGCACAACAATTTCTGTTTTCGTTTCTCCGCACCAAGGTCATGGAGCTTGTTAATGCCCCTCTTAATACCAGAAACTGAGCTGTTTTCAACATTAGAAGTTCGCACTTCAAGTACCTCATCAATAATCTCATTATGATCAGGTAAAGAAGTCTCACCAGATTTTACAAACTCCAATATATGTTCACTCCAGTCATTTACAACTCTGATCAGCTCTTTCATATGATCAACTCTTCCATAACGCATTTCGTCAGACCATAAAAACTCAGCAAATTCAAATATATCAAAATTCCCGGAAGAAGAGATGTATGGATAAAGAACATCCTATAAGAAAGTACAAACGAATAATTAGTTATATAGACGAATTGAGAATATAAATTATTCAATGTTTTCAAAAAATTACAAACCTCTGATCCAAATGTGCTCTCAAGCTGAATAATCTCGTCATACGATACTCTTGCAGCTCCTGTCCAATTACAGCACCTGACACTTTCTTTGGAAGCATTCTCGAGTTTCCGGCCCAACAATATACCAACGTCTGGAATTGCTTCCATGAGCCAAATCTGAAATGCGTAGGAGAAGCCATCTAAAGAGTATGTTGTCTTCTTCAACTTCTTTCGGTTCTTGATAATTGAGTCAACAAGAACTGTAAAAGATTCACGACCCCATGGATATGCCCGCAGGTTATCAAGATTCATCACCAGTTTGATGTATATGAGTGGGATAGCAACCTTCTCATCCTTAGCCATAAGCAAACCAGCAATAACACACAAATACACAAATACCTTTTAAGTGCTTATCCATTATTGTCTTCATGCTAATCGTAGCGTCATTCTTTATCACCTTGCTCCAAAAACCTGTATCTTCTACAAAGTTCTCCACATTGCAATTATCCTCATTTAAACACTTGAGTCCAGTAACTGCATAGAATTCTTGCAGAGAAAACCGTAGGGGCCTCCTGCCAAACACAAACCATAACTCACGATGTTTGTCAGTTATCAGTTACCTACACATAAAGCTGTGAAGCAATCTTCCCGAATATCCTAGATTGTTTTCATGGATCGCCAAAATTTTAGCAAATACAGGGTCTCACTTGACAATTTCATACTCATGTGGCAGGGCTCCCTCCAATTTCTCCATATATGTCATTTTGCAGTTATTGTTAATATGTGATACTTGAGGCTCACATCCTGCCTTAAACAACTATTTTGGCAATTCCAAATTCATACCTACAAACACAATTATTCAAAAACTAATAATATGAGCAAACATGTAACAAAAAACAACTAATAAAGAAAAAAAAGAAAAAAAAGACAAGAACAGTACATAACACATAGAAAATCAATAATGTGAACAATTTAGCATCAATAAAACATCAATAAAATATGACTAAACAAGAGAAGAAGAGAAACATGAATACATACATGCAAACAACGACGGCAAAGGCTTTCTTGTTATGATCTTGCAATCATTTTTATCTTTTACTTAAAAATCCTAACTAAGCAAGACTGCGAACCTAATCCACTCTTAGCTAGAGGTTGTAGTTAATATCGATTACCTAGGAACACCAAAGGCTAGCTTACGCCTATCTAAATCTAAGCATCGACATGTTTACCGTCTATTACCTAGGAACACCAAAGGCAGGTAAATTTGTTTACCATCTAAATCTAAGATTCGTTGTGGACTGAGACAATAAATTTGGTGCTATCAATAGTGCAATGTTTAAATAGGATGAGGAAAGAAGGAGGAAGGAGGAGAAACTTACCGCCACAAGGAGGATGACAGCCGATGCGAGAAGAGGAAGACCCGGCTGAGAAGGAGGAGTTTGGCGGAGATGAGGAGGCTAGAAAAGGAAGATTCCCCGGGCTGCTTTATCTGCAAAATCGGATTCCCAAAATCAATTTTATCCCTTAGGTTGAGAAGGAAACAAGAAAGAGGAGGAAAGAGCAAAAATTGAATACCCAAAATCACTTACCAACTCAACGACGATACTGGCAGAAGAGAGGACGCTGATGGAGGAGGACGCCAACGAAGGAGATGAATGTGGAGGAAACAAGGAAGAGGAGGAACTGCTAGGAAAAATCGCAGATTTTTATTAATTGGAAGTCGATGGAGGAGGATGACGCCGGCGAATGATGAAGACGACGCCGGCGAAGGATGAAGACGATGCCGGCGAAGGATGAAGACGCCGACGAAGGATGAGGACGACGGAGGGCCGATGGTTTTAAGTTGGATGTGGCAGAAAAGAAGAGCACGATGCTTTTTATGTTTATTAGAAGATATTTTTTTGTGGGCTACATCGACTAATATTTTTAAGTTTAATATTTTAATTTTTAATTTTTGTTTTTTTTCAATTTTATCTAAATAGTTTTTTAAGTATATACAGAGTAGTTTAGGTTTTGTATTATTTAAAGTATTATTTGGACAATGTATTCTAAATAAGTATTGATGTGACAATACCTTTCGAAATCTATCCTATTTTTTCAATTATCCCTATTATTTTTACTAACGATATATTTGACTTTTCATCTCTTAAAAGAATGGTAGGACCCATTCCCAACAGACATGGAGCCAATCAAAGTCACGTTTACAAGGTTAATAAAGTTTTATGTACGGAAAATACCTTCATCTTTGTTGCTTTTCTAAAAAACGGCAATTTCACATAAAAAACACATCAATCGAAGAAAGTTCATTAAATATCTAAACATAAAAAATAAATATTTCAATAAAAAGAAAAAAAAATGAGAAACTCTGAAATCTCATTAGAAACTTATTAAATATATGTCTTTTTGTAAATGGCTTATTCTTTTTTTTTCTGTTTTAATCATTAATTAAAAAAATTAAATAAAAGCTATTAATATTATACTGGTTAATACTCTTTTGAATATAACCACTGAAGTTATTCTAACTCACCACAAAAACACTCTTACTTATCAGATTCTGTCTTAAACAAGAAAATCTGCTAAAATATTACCATAAAATTAGCGTCAATAGAGTTATAGGGTACTGATTAAATATAATTATTTTTGATGACAGTTGTGTTGATACAAACAACGAATTTAAAAGTAGTGTCCCGAAATTATGACAAGTTATATTTGACATGTAAATTCTGGAAAGTATGCCACATGTTCTACTTAAAAAGAATCGGACACTTGTCAATTTTAGTCCTGGGTATTTGGGTATTCGGTTCGGTTCCGAATCTTTTGGGTAGAGGAGTTTTATATCCACATAAGTACAAAAATTATTTTGAGCTGGATTCGGTTTGGTACTTATCGGTTCTGGGTAGATTCGATTCTTGATTTTCAAACCTGTTTAAAATTTTAAATAAATCAGTTCTCACGAAAATTCGGTTCGGATTGATTTTTTTATCTGAATGGAACCAGAATACTAAATAATTTACCCGAAATGTAAACATATACCTTAAAAAAATAAACTCTAAGCACAACATTTTAGCCACCATTTGATAGAAACTATCAATTCAAATCATAAAGAAGAAGCAACTGAGATTTAACAGAGAAAATAGAGTACAAAATGCAAACATTTCCAAGATAAAAGCATCAAAGTGAGTCATACTTGTGTTCATATAAAATTAAAAATTTGAAATAGCCGAATGACCTCTTGGTGAAGAGAATGTCCATCAAGTGCCCTCTTCAGTCTTCACTCTTCACTGATACTTCTTATAAAAACTGATGCTAAATCTCAGACTCAAATATATAAAATCAACAAGGACACTTAATCAAAAACACAACATGGCTATTAGCGAGACAACATACCTCATTGTCAACCTCATTGTCAAGGTCCTTGCTTGTACTTCCAATAAAAATTGTTCAATTGTAATCACTCCTTTTTCATTCATATGAATCTCACATTTCAACCACTGCTCAGTGCACATCAACACTTCAACCATGAAGGGTCTCAAACAGCTCCTAAATGGGTCTAGTACTCTTCCACTAGTGCTGAATGCCGATTTGGATGCTACTGAGGACACTTGCATTGCAACTATATCCCTAGCTATAAGAGATAGAACTGGGAATTTGAGACTATTTCTCCTCCACCAATCTAAGATATTATATTATGTACCATTTATAAGCTTGAGACATTCAACCGGTTCTTTCAAGTAGAGCTCTAACTCGTTAACTGATTCTGAAATGCCAGATTCTTCCATATACTCCTCGTACAGACTATCCATCCGTACATATCCGACACCATTAATCAGAACCCTTGTCTGAAAAGTTTCACCATTAAATTTATCTTGAGACTGAGACTATGTAGACGATGTTGCTTGTGACTAAGAACTAGTGTTACCAGACCCACCAGTAGCTGTCGCATAACTATTGTACTCTTCAAACAAACTCTTCAATATATCCTTCACTGATTCAGAGAGAAGATTATACTCGATGCTTTAATTTCCATACAGCTTCTCAAAACAGAGATGAGCAAACTTCATCTTCTTCCTTGGGTCAAAACACATGCTACTATCAGAAGCTTGTTCATCTCTCGGTTTTGTAAACTGGCGTTCCCACTCGTTTCTTCCCAAAATGGATTCCAATATTTCTTTAACTTCGTCATCATATCGAACGCTTTGTACCTTAGCTCTTCATCAAGATTTGCATTGTTGCTTATTGCACTGACCATCCTATTGTTGGTGACTATCTCTGAGTAGATTTTATGAGCCGTCGTCGAAGTAGAAGCTGAAAGGCTCAAAGTCAAATTGTAAAATATGATAAGGAACTGAATCAACCTCTCAACTTCTTCCCAATCAGTTGTAGATGGTGGTCCGACCCTCTTCTTTCCCTCCGCACTTTTGATATATCATGGTTTTTATGGTTTTTAACCATGGTATAAGTCCTTTTTATTGAGTCTTTTTGGTCTTTTTAGAGTCCTAGTAGACTCTTTGCAGGTTATAGCATGACTGGAGCATAATTGGAGATTCTGGAGCTTTTTGGATCATTGCAAGAATCAACCCCGAAGTTAGCAAATCATAAGCCGTTGTTCTGCATTGGTGACGATCGTCACCCCTTATGGGTGACGCTTGTCACCCACATCTGAAGAGAATCGCGAAGTCTAATTAAAAGATGGAGAAGATATTGCACTTTTGGCCCAGAAGTTCACTGATTTGCAAGTAGACCTCAGCTCGTGTTTTAGCCTGTATATTAGGTTTTTCAGCCATTGTTGGCTTTTATTTTGTATCTTAGAATTCAGAGAGCTTTAGAAGGAGATTTATTCAGAGCTTTTGGGGAGATAAATCATGTACTCTTTTAAAGAAGATTTTGAACCCTTTTATCTTATACTCTATTCTTTTAATGCAGTTTTATTCAGCTATGCTTTGTGTTTTCATAATCATGTCCGAGTAATCTGTTAGTTAAGTTAGGGTTTTTCAAAGGTTGATGAAGAGTTTGTAGAATTGCAAAACTGTTAAGAAAATCCATTGGTTCTTCATCTGTGCATGCATTCATATCGATCTCTTAGACTAATCATCTGGATTTCGAAACCCTAGGTTGTTTAATAGATGTGAGAACATTGTTAATCACCTGAACTTGTATTAAATGAGCAAAATGTCTATTTTCAAAGAGATTTGACTTAGGAGTTTTGTGAACAATTGAACCTGATCATTACTGCATGTTTAGATTGTTAGAATTTGCAAAGAGATTTGAAATTCTGTGACTTAGGCATTAATAAATTCTGCAATGAGAATTGATTAAACTATTAGGAAAATCCATTGGTTCTTCATCTGTGCTTGCATTCATATCAATCTCTTAGACTAATCATCTGGATTTCGAAACTCTAGGTTGTTTAATAGATGTGAGAACATTGTTAATCACCTGAACTAGTATTAGATGAGCAAAACGCCTATTTGCAAAGAGTTTTGACTTAGGATTTTTGTGAACAATTGAACCTGATCATTACAGCATGTTTAGATTGTTAGAATTTGTAAAGAGATTTGAAATTCTGTGATTTAGGCATGGATCACTTATGCAATGAGAATTGATTAGTTATTTTATTGTGTTTCAAGATCTAGACGGTTTTAATTCATTCTTGATTGCATGCATTCTACATTGTTGGATTTGATATATCATGGTTTTTGCTGGTTTTTGACCATGATATAAATCTTGTTTATAGAGTCTTTTTGGTATTTTTCGAGTCCTATAGAGTCTTTGCAGGTCTAGGTACAAATGGAGCATAATTGTGGATTCTGAAACTTTTTGGAGCTATACTGAAGTTGATGCTGAAAGGACCAAGTCGGAGGACATTAAGGAGCAGGGTGTCGATCGACACCCACTACTTGGTGTCGATCGACACCGGTCATGGTCGCGAAGAAGCATAAAAACTCGTTGGAAGAAATTGCAACTTGGCCCAAAAGTTTTCCACTATTTGCACTTTTGCCCCAGTTCGTGTTTAGACTTGTATTTAGGTTTTCTAAGCCATTGTTAGGCTATTATTTTCTGATTATCATTGAGACTAAGAGAGATATTATATTGAGAGCTTTTGGGGAGACAAATCCATACTCTGTTGAGAAGAATTTCGAACCCTTTCATCTTTTACTTTATTTTCTTAATGCAATTTTATTCAGTCATGATTTGTGTTTCACTTGCTATGTCTGAGTAATCTGCTAGTTAGGTTTTGGGTTATTCAAAGGTTGATAATGAATTGTTAAGACTACAAAACTGAAAGGATAAATCATTTGGTTCTTCATCTAGATTGCTTTAACACTGCTTTTAATATTGGTCACCTAGAAATCAGATCTTAGGATGTTTAATGGATGTGGAAACATTGTTAATCACCAAAACTATCTTAGATGAGCAAAATAACTAGTTGCCAAGGAATTTAGATTAGTGATTTTGTGAACATATCGAACCTGGTCTATAATGCATGTTTAAGTTGTTTACACTAGTGTTTCAAGTTCTAGAACGGTTTTAATAAATATTCCTTTCAGTTCGTAGTCTGCGATTTATGTCAACCTGCGAATTTTCCATTGCCTAGCGTCTTGTCTTCTGATTTTAAGAACCTACAATCCGCCCCTGATATTATTGCTTTCGTTGTTATTTTATTTTCATTTCATTATTGATTGCTTAGCTTTATTTGAATCTAAAATCTGTTGAGTGATAGCCTTAAGTCCTTGTGGATTCGATCCCTAAGTACTACAGTGATCTCTTAATTTGAGAGAGTAGCTCTAAGGGTTAATTTGAGCATATCAAATTTTTGCACCGTTGCCGGGGACTTAGATATTATTTTCAGATTTTTGGTTTTAGAATTTTGACTAAGCTTTTATTTACTGTTTACTAACTTCTTTCACTTTTCTGTTGTCTGTTTCAGGTGCATGCATAATCGCAGTACCAGAAGCAACAAAGACAAATAACTTGTGACTTTAGGCATCGGCGAACTCGCCAAGCTAGAGAGAACCATCATGAAAGCCAAAAAAGCAGACTAAAATGGTTGGACCAATTGTTTTGAGGACAGATGTTGAGGGTCATTTAGTTGACAGAGAAGGGAACAGAAGGAATGAGTATGGGCAGAGGATAGATGACAATGGCGTTGTAATTGAGGAGCATAATGTACAACATGCTGCTGGAGATGCTGCTGGGCGTCATCCACAGAGGATTCTGGGAGATTACAACATGCCAGATCAGTTCTATGCAAATAGAGCTGCAATCCGCCCACCTGCGTTTCAGAGGAATGATTTTGAGCTGAAACCCAGTTACCATCATCTTGTAGGTCAGCATCCTTTCCATGGGCCTCCACATGAACACCCAATGGACCATATTGAGAATATTGAAGACCTGACTTCAAGTGTTAAAGACAATGGAGTCACCAATGACTTCCTATTCTGCAAGCTTTTCCCTCACTCTTTGGAAGGAGATGCAGCACATTGGCTCAAACAGTTGGAACCTGCTTCTTTGACTACATGGGAGGACACTAAATCTGCTTTCCTCAACAACTTCTATGATGATGCAAGGTCGGAAGAGTTGAGGAGAACTAGCGCCACATTCTCCCAAGGTCCAACAGAAGATTTTAAAGCAGCATGGGTGAGATTTAAGCTGTACCAAAGGGACTGCCCACATCATGGGTTTAATGAAGTACAACTGCTGG